AACTAAACCCAATTTAGGCATGTTATGCTATCCTTTCCCACTTGTCACTAGATTCAGTTTGCCAAGAATTAATGAGTTTTCTTTTTTTTTTTTTTTTGTACCAGAGATCGAACTTGGGTCCTTGTGCTTGCAAGGCAGGCGGTGGAACCACTGAGCTAAATCCCCAGCCCTGTCTTAATTTTAAATGCATATTTTAAGTTGTAAAAGCTTGCTTATAAAAAATGTAAACATTTATCAATTAAAAATCTTAGCCCCTGGCATAGTGGTGCATGCACATATATAATAATCACGACACTCTGAGAAGTTGATGCAGGAAGGATCACAAGTTCAAGAGCAGTCTGGACAGCTTAATGACTTTGAGAGATCCTGGCTCAGACTAAAAAATAAAAAAGATCTAGACACATTCAGCCCCCTGATCTTTGATAAAGGGGCCAAAACACACACTGGAGCAAAGATAGCCAGCCCCTTTAACAAATGGTGATGGGAAAACTTGCTCCTCACATGCACAAGATTGACTCTTGACCCACATTGCTCATTGTATGCTAACCTAAAATCATGTGGTTCAAAGACCTAAACATTAAAACAAACAACCTGCTGGAAGATAAGATAGGTGACACTCTTGATTCTTTTTTTTTTTTTTTTTTGGTATTGGGGATCGAACTGGGACCTTCCGCTAAGGCAGGCGGCAGAACCACTGAGCTAAATCCCCCGCCCAAGTAACACTCTTGAAATCATATTCATAGGCAAGAACTTTCTGAACAGAAGACCATTTGCATAAGAAATAACACCAAGGGACCAGGGATTTAGCTCAGTGGGACTGCATCTGCCTTGCAAGCACAAGGTTGTGAGTTTGATTTCTGGTGCCAAAAAAAAGGAAATAACATCAAGAATCAACAAATTATATCAAATTAAAAATCTTTTGCACAGCAAAAGAATCTGCTGTTTTTTCCATATGCATATATCTAACATTGATGGTTGGGCCAGATACGTTTGGAGAGTTAGACATTTTGTGAAAGTGTTACCAGTGTATATTACGTTGGTACCTTTAAAATTGAGCTTTTAGCTGGGGATTTAGCTCGGTGGTTCCGCCGCCTGCCTTGCAAGCACAAGGTCCTGAGTTCGATCCCAGGTACAAAAATAAATGGGGCTGGGGATTTAGCTCAGTGGTTTCGCTGCCTGCTGCTCAAGCACAAGGACCGGAGTTTGATCCCCGGTACCCCCCCCATAAATAAATAAATACAAATTAAAATTGGGCTTTTAACTGCAGTTTTCAAAGTTCAACGTATTATTTCTAAAAGCATAATTTTGTTGCTCTGAACATAGCGATAAAACTGAATAAGGTACGGGGGGCCTGGGGATTTTTAGCTCAGTGGTACTGCACCTGCCTCATAAGCACAAGGTCCTGAGTTTGATCCCCAGTACCAAAAAAAAAATGAATAAGGTACAACTTTTCTTGAGATAGTCTTTAAGAATTTCTTGTTACATTGCTTTTTATTTCTTTCAGAGAAAATTTATCGAAGGATCTTTACTTGATATCCCAAATGGATAGTGATCAGTTCATCCCAATATGGACAGTTGCCAACATGGAAGAAATAAAAAAGTTGACCACAGATCTTGATCTAATTCTTGAAGTGTTGAGATGTACGTAAATAATATCTTTTAACTTGTGTTTGAATTTTAAGAAGTTAAATATTTTCTAGATTTCTGATGCTTTAAGGAGTTGGTTTAGTGGTTCTATTTTGTTCCAGTAATTTACTTTCCCTGGCTGCCAGTCCAGTATATGTGTGTGTTCAGCTTCTATATCAATTCTATTCTTTAGTTGTTAACTTTGATGTTCAATTAGCAAGCGTAAGCCATTAAATCTCATTTTTATGGGCTGATAGCTATTAGGAAGAGTGTCATCCTTATATCTACTAATGCAGTCAGTTTCAGACTGAAAACAATTCACAGCTGTGCATCTGCTGCATGCCTACACACAATTGAAATACCAGTTTCATAAGTTAATACTAATCTTAAACTGATTTCACAGCCTTTGAGTTATAACTTCAATTTAACAAACACTCCTCTGAAGTTTGATAAATAATTGATATTTCTTGCTGGGTGTAGTGGTGTATGCCTATAATCCCAGCATTCTGGGAGGCTGATGGAGGAGAATCACAAGTTCAGGCCCAGCCTGGGGAGCTTAGCAATTTAGGGAGACCTTGTCTCAAAATTAAAAAATGAAAGGGTGGGGGTGTGAAGGCCCTGCATTCAATCTCCAGTACCACAAATTACATTTCTTAAGGTTAAGAATTTTAAGTGGTATTAGTATCTTGTATTAATATTTCTTGGTAACCTCTCAAGGGGTTTATTAATTAACTACTTGACTAAATAAAGGAGATTTTTACTTTTATATGAAGTCTGTTCAGAATGCTTAAAAGTTAAGTATAGCAATAGATTTATAAGAGAGTTTGTATAGACATCATTTCTTTAAAATGTCACAGTCTTGTCTACAAAGAAAATTGGCAGAGACAAGCAAAGCAAAATACCTCCTCTTATTTAAGTTGGAACCTAGCCCTTACACTAACCCTTTACCCTTTGCTGCTTTTTAAAATTCTGTTTACATGCTCAGGGAAATGTGGCTCTGGAGGAACTAGAAATAAAAGTTTTGGCTATGAGGAAGTATCCTTTTCCATTATTTCCTCAAAATCAGCATCCAGAAAATGACTTTCTGACCTTTGTAGTAGTGTATAACAGTAAATATATTATTATTTTTAAAAGGGTACCATATGAAGTCATAATTAAAAAATATACACTCCTGGGCCAGGGATCTAGCTCAGTGGTTCTGGCGCCTGCCTCGCAAGTGCAAGGTCCCGAGTTCAATCCCTGGTACAATAAATAAATAAATATATACATATAAAAGGCTTCTTTTCAACCTCAACACAGTGTAAGTCAAAGTATGTACTCTGAATATTTGCTCAATAAATAACATTTGAGGATATTCTTTGTGTATAAACCTCAATTTTTTTTTTTTTCTTTTTTGGTACCGGGGATCAAGCTTGGGACCTTGTGCTTGTGAGGCAGTCGCCAGAACCACTGAGCTAAATCCCCAGCCCTAAACCTCAAATTTTTTATCTTATCTGTAATCATTGGCATATTAGCCTCTGGTAATTCATTGAAAATTGAAATCGTCTTTTTATGGCATTATTATTATTGCTACTTATCACTTTTAAATGAGACTCTTCTTTTTTAAATTTTAGCATCTCCAATGGTACAAGTTGATGAGAAAGGGGAGAAAGTGAGACCAAGTCATAAACGTTGTATCGTGATCCTCAGAGAGATTCCTGAAACAACACCAGTAGAGGTAAATCATTAGTCACTGTTAAAGTGAAATGTTCTTCATAATTTTAAATTGGAGGAGTTAAACAAGCAAAGTATATTGAGTAGGACAAATAGTAACATTTTGTTCTGAAATATTAGAGCAGTACAGAGGGAGGAAAAGAGAATTTTTTGTTCTTAGAAGGGTAGACTAGGTGTTGTGGTAAAACTAATTATAAATTTATTGGTTTGACTGAATAAAAAATAAGACTTTTGGGGGATTCATCTGGAAGGCTAAAATTTTTTTTAAAAGGATTATTGAAAACAAGACTAACCTGATTAGCAAAATAAAGCAGATGTGCAGTCAAGGATGGCTTAGTACATGCTTGAGAATAAAGTAATAATTGAATGAAATAATATAATCCAGAAAACCATCTCATGTAGTTATATATAGTGATATTTAATAATTAGATTCTACCAGATATTGCGTACTTTATAGTTTACAGTCATTTAAAGGCAAACATTATCTGTTTACAGCTAGAGAATCTGAGCCTTTCAGTGGTTAAATAATTTGGCCCAAGGGTAAATGACAGTCTGAATTTAAACTTGATCTCTCCAATTCTAAAGAGTGTCTGTCTTTATTTTTGGTACCAGGAATCAAACTCAGGGTCTTGTGTCTGGGAGGCAGGCACAGCACCACTGAACTAAATCCCCAGCCGTCAAGCCTGTGTTTCTTAACCACTATGCCATGTTAAGTCATTATAAATTTTAAAAGTTAGGATTTCTTAGTAACTGATTTATTGTAATTGATTAGCCATTTAGAAAATAATTTTTATAGGCACTTGCCAGATGACAAATATGATACCTTAGCTAATCATTTTGCCCATGGTCATTCAACATTAAATCTCTAAATAAAAATTTCCTAAATTTAGAACCAGTAAGAGAAATTAGAAAAGAAATTGTCCCAAGATCTTTGATTTTGAACTGCATATCAAAAATAACCCAGGACCTTTGCACTGAACTACATCTCCATTCCTTTAATTTTTAATTTTTAATTTCTAGCTAAGTTACTAAATTTCTCAGGCTGGGCTCAAATTTGTAATCCTCTTGCCTCAGCCTCCCAGAGTGTTGGGATTACAGGGAAGAACCACCACAAACAGCTTTTTGGGTGGGTGGGTAGGTTAGGGAGTTTGTTTGCTTGGTACTGGGGATCAAACTCAGGACCTTGTGTCTGCGAGGCAGGCACAGCACCACTGAGCTAAATCCCCGGCTCTGTTTGTTTTTAATAATGGCAGACCAGCCAAGAAAAGGACAGGAGATTTTAGTATAAGGGAAATTTAGCTTGCCACCAGAAGTGACAAACTTTTGTTTGCTGATCATGAAATGAGGGTCTGTTTCTAAATTAAACAAAATTTACACTGTGTTTTGTTTCAGAATAGTAAACAGTTAAATGAAGAAATAGAAAGGACTAAAAGATGAAGAGATACTCAGCCTTACCAGTAAACCAAAAAAAAATGCTCATTATTGATATATTTTATAGAGTTGACTACAAATTTTCTCTTTTAGGAGGTGAAAGCTTTGTTCAAAAATGAAAACTGCCCCAAAGTGATAAGCTGTGAGTTTGCACACAATAGCAACTGGTACATCACCTTCCAGTCAGATACTGATGCACAGCAGGTGAGATTTTCCTTCTGAAACAAGTCCTAGTGGTAAAAGAAGTCAGTATATTTCAATTAAGAAAATATTTGCTTACTCTAATGGTATAGACTAGTGGGCATCTTGGTCACCATTTTGCTTTTTTTTTTTTTTTTTGGTACTGGAGATCAAACTCAGGTCCTTGCGCTTGTGCAGCAGGTGGCGAGACCACTGAGCCAAATCCCCGGCCCACCTTTTTGCTTTTACTTAATAGGTTTCCTGTCTGATCATCTTCATAAAGCTTTCTCAGTTTCAATTTAAGAACAGTCTGTTTCCTGTCAATAGAAAAGTTAACATTCACTGGTAAAATTAATATGGATATTAAACTGAGCCTGCCTAGCAAGCGCAAGGTCCTGAGTTTGATCTCCGGTACCAAAAAACCCTCTATCTATCTATCTGTCTATCTATCTGTCTATCTATCTATCTGTCTATCTGGTATATCTGGATAGATAGATAGATAGAGATAGACATTGAAAACTATGTAGTCAGTAGTATTTCTAGTACATAGTAGACCTTCAATTTTATTGGAGTTTTGGCTTCATGGTTTTATTCTTAATTATTATGCCCTCCTTAAAGGAAACAGAAATACATACTTTAAAATATACCTATGATAGTATTATAAAATAACTCAAGACTTTTGTTCTTTAATCCTTCATCTTAGAAATTTATCTGATTGAATCATAGAGTTGCTGTGTAGTGCTAATTTAGGTCTGTTTTGAATCTTGCATCTTTTGTCTGTAGTAATCCTTATATGTGAACTGTAGTTGAGAATGCCTTAAGCTTTTACTTTTCTTTCTCTATCACATTAAGAATGTTTTTAGAAATAATTGCTAGTTCCAGACTCTTTCGATGAATAAAAATGGCTTTAATAAAATGTCTGTCTAGGGGCCGGGGATTTAGCTCAGTGGTTCTGCCACCTGCCTCACAAGCGCAAGGATCCGAGTTCAATCCCCAGGACCCCCCGCCCCCCCCAAAATAAATAAAATAAAATGTCTGTCTGAATGCTAATGAAAGTTATTTCTGTTTTGTTAACAGGCATTTAAATACTTAAGAGAAGAAGTTAAAACATTTCAGGGCAAGCCAATCATGGTAAGAAACACGTGTAAATATGGCAGAGGACAGTGAAACAAGCATTTTATATTTTTTGCTGTTTGAGTGTTTAAGAAGACACAAATAGATAATATTTTATAGGCCAATAGTAATTTTAAAGACATTTCTGGCTTGTATGATGTGTTATTTCAGAAAATTAGCTGATAGGGCATTAAAATATTCTTTATACAGTAGTTCTTCCCAAATAACTGCATAAAGTATTTCTTTAGTAGTTCACAACCTATGATTCCAGATCTCAAAATGAACAGTAGATTTAATTTTTTAGTAACAGAGGTGAAAGAGCAATCTTAGTACCTTAACCTCATCTCAGTTAGCTGCATTTCCACATTAATATTCAACCATCTGGAACTTAGGAATTATCATTGATGATACTTGTTCACTATCTTTACGTCTAGTCTGTTCTCAGGTCCTATGAAATCTACCTTCAAACTTTCCATCATTATTATTCCCCATTGATTCGGCTTGAATAATTGGAGTAGCTTCATAACCACTATGCCTTCAGCTTTTCCAATCTTCACATTGCCACTAGAGCTACCATTCTAAAGTATAATAACGTATTTTTTTTGACCTGGTCCTCATTCTCCATGTGATATAGCTATTCTGTCATTACTTGAAGTGTAATACATTGTTCTTACTAACTCCTCTCCGTTGTGTTATTGTATATCAGTTTCTGTTATAGTGCTTTACATATGTTACCTATTTTATCCTTAAAAGAACATAATGAGATAGGTACTTTTGTTTTCCCTGTTGTACTAGTAAATAAGAATAACCTAAAAAAAAAAAAAAAGAACAAATAACCTACCTGGTTTCACAGAACTAGTATTACTAGTTTTTATAACAGATGAGTTGTTTGCTCAGTGTTATTCTACACCCGCCCACCCAGCTGGGACTGTAGGTAACCTGCCTCTGCATCTAGCCTTTCTCTGCCTTTGATGCTGTCTTCCCTGTTATCACGTCTTCCTATTTTCATGTTATTCTGAGTCTTGTAATAACATCAAGGTTTGACTTTTCAGATTGAATTTTGATATATATATACCCTTTCATCAATTCATATGTGGTATATGGGATCTAGTTCACTTCTTCCATCTATGGAAAAGCAACTGCCTCAGCATGTATTTGTGACTGGCCTGTCCTTTCACAACATGTGTGCAGCACCACATTTCTGAGATGTTTCAAGATTTTTGTTCTATTGATCTCTACTTCTCTAAACCAATACTAGTACTTCAGTTACACCATAGTTTTGCAATATCCTTATTTCCAGATACACTTTATTTTTCCTTGTTCTTATTTTTCAGGATTGTTGTGGCTCTTCTTAGACTATTACTTTTTCATACAAATTTCAGAATGTCTAATGTTAAAACCAAACAAAAAACATGTTTGGATTAATAGGATTGTATTTATTGATTACAGTGGGCACTTTTACCCTAAATTTACTTTTGTGAATAATATTTCAGTATTAGTGCAGAGCTGCTGTTTTTGCCTTTTTTTTTTTTTTTTTTTTTGGTAAGAGGTTTATTTGGTTCACAGTTCATAGAGGTTTCAGAGCATAATCGCTGGCTCCAAAGCAGGCAGAATCTATTGACAATCCATTGCATGAAGCTGCCAAAAGAGGTATTTTTTTTTTTTTTTAGTCTTTTAAAACCAAAGCATTTATTTTGAGTAATCGTTGAAATTCTCAAGATGAACTGGATGCTGCAACAGCTGCTCCCGTGGGTTTAGGTGTTGTTCCTTCACGGAATCCATGCCTGAATCTGTGATACACAATTTTTAGGTGCCTCGTTCTCCCAGTTCCGGTGGTATTTTGCCTTTTAAAGCCTTTGCACTCCAGTTAAACTTTCTCTTGCACTTGTCAGGGTAGCCACATTTGCCACAGGTTGACTTCTAAAGGTGATAAGCCTTAGAGCCACAGTGGCGGCACAACGTGTAGGTCTTATTACGACGCTTTCCGAATGAAGATGTTCCCTTCGTCATCTTGATTGTGCCGCTGAGACCAAAGACCTGTTTGTTTTTACCTTCTTAAAGTAATTTTTTTGATATCGTAGTTTGATGTCTTTTTTTTAATGTTATCTTCTCCATCCTTGCTGAACTCCTTTATTATATTGAATAGTTTGGTGGGTCTTTTGGATTATCAGCCTGAGAGGTGATATTGTCTCCAAATAAGCACTGCATTTCGTTATGAAAATCTTTGTTTTACCTTTTTAAAAACAATTCCTTTGACTGGCCATTTTCAGTATTATTGCTAGAAATTCATATTTGCCCATGTGAGTGAGTGTGTGTGTGTGTGTGTGTGTGTGCGCGCTAGGAATTGAACTCAGGGCCTGGTATGTGTTAGGGCAAGCACTTTACACTAGCCTACATATCCAGCCCACATATTAACTTTTAAATCATTAGTTAAAGCTAAACAACGTAACATCTGGAAAGACAGGTGCTGGAGTCAGGAATCCTATATTCCAGCTGTGGTACTGCTTTCAGCCACCAGCTCTTGAATTTTGAGTATGTCAAACTACCTGTAAAATTTTGGTTTCCTTATAGTGCACATGCTCATTGGTTCTAAATTTCTACTGTTAAGGGCGTAGTTTAGTGGTAGAACACATGCTTACAATGTGCAAAGCCTTGGGTTTGATCCCCAGCACCAGAAACAAAACAAAAATGATGATGGAGAATAAGACCATCAAGTTGATAATGTTTGTCCACTTGTTCCCTCATCCACTGATTATTTCACATTGAAGCAATGCTTCATTCTATTTTAGCTGTACTTTTTTCACTTTTTGAGACAGTCTTACTATGTAGTTCAGGCTGATCATGAACTCAGTATGTAGTCTAGGCTGGCCTTGAACTTGTGGCAATCTTCCTGCCTCAGCCTCCATCACATCTGAATTTCAATAACAACAACTTCTATCATTTCCCCTCAGCCAGAATCATTAGTATTTCTTACCGTTCCTACCAGTGATTAATTCTCTTAGTTTTTCTTTATCTAAAAATGTCTGTTCTTTCACACTCATTCCCCCCACCCCCGCATACCAGGGATCGCATTCGCCTGGCAGGTATGGTGCCACTGAGCTACATCCCTAGCCCTTCACACTCATTTTTGATGAGTATTTTGTAGTTACAGATGTCTGGGTTGGCAGCTAAAAATATTTTTCCAACCTTTTAAGATATTCTGATACTGTTTCTTATGAGATATTCACATCCATTCACATTGTCATTTTCCCATTAGTATTCCCCAGTATATATAATGATGTGTCCTTTTCCTTTCCTGGCTGCCAAAATATTTTATCTTTGGTTTTCAGTAGGTTGAGTGTGGTGTTTTTGGTTTTTTTATATTATCACCCCACCCCACCTCAGTGGGGATTGAACTCAGGACCTTGTGTTTGCAAGGCAGGCATAGTGCCACTAAGCTAAATCCCTGGCCCTGTTTTTGGTTCTGTTTTTTGTGTGGGTTTTTTGTTTTGTTTTGTTTTGTTTTTGGCTTTTGGTTTTTTCTTTTGGGTACCGAGGATCGAACTTGGGTCCTTGTGCTTGCGCAGCAGGCGGCAAAACCACTGAGCTAAATCCCCGGCCCGGCTTTTGGTTTTTTGAGACAGGGTCTGGCTATGTATTTAAGGCTTGCCTTGAACTCATTATGTAGTCCAGGCTGGCCTCGAACTCACAGCAATTCTCCTGGCTCAGCCTCTCAAGTCCTGGGATTACAGGCATGTGCCATCATGCCAGGCTAGTATGGTGTTTTGTTGAGACAGGGCATCACTATATAGTTCAGGTTGGCCTTCAACTCTATGTAACCCAGTCTGTCCTCAAACTCAAAGCAGTCCTCCTGCCTCAGCTTCCTAAGTGCTGGGATTACAGGATGTGCCACCATGCCTGGCTAGTATTTCCATTTTAAAAAATGACTTCCTGTAGCTGCCAAGGTTTCTCCTTAACTTTGGCTTATTAAGAGCATAATTTCTCTGTTATCCATGAATGTGTTTATAATGCTAGATTAAAGTCTTTGTTAATTTCTTTTTTTTTTGTACCGGGGATCAAACTCTGGACTTTGCGCTTTCGAGGCAGGCGCTGGAACCACTGAGCTAAATCCCTGGCCTTCTTTGTTATTTCTAACATCTTGAAGTCTTTTTCTTTTAGCTGTGTCACATTATTTAGTAAAGCTGTATGTTAAAGTCAGTCTTTTCAAGTTTAGCCATCATTGATTTCTTTTGTTCTCTTGTTCTTTTGTGGTGCTAGAATTTGAACACAGGACCTTGTACATGGTAACAAGTGCTCCACCACTGAGCTACTTCCTCACTCCAACAATTGATTTCTTATCATTTGATTGGTTATAATTTGAGGGTGGGAGGGAAAGGGTTCCTGGCCTATAGCTGTAAGGATCATAAAACATTTCTTGCTCGTTAAAATGGCAATTTTATACCTTCACATGCATTATTTCATTTGGTATTCCCAACAGTCTTGGTATGGCGTATTACTAATCTAACCCTCTCACATCTTCATATTACAGTTCTATTACAAAGGTCAGAAAATTTTTTCTAATTATAGGCTTCATCTTGTAAAAATTAAATTCTATACCTGTTACTTTGTATTAACAGTTACTGGGGACTGGCCTTATTTAATTGTTCTTAAAATAATATAGTCATAATATCATCATCACACTTAAGGTGAACAGTAATTTCTTCACTGTCATCAAATACCCAGTCAATGTTCTTTTTTTTGGTACCAGGGATCGAACTCTGGTCCTTGTGCTTGCAAGGCAGGCGACAGAATCACTGAGCTAAATCCCTGGCCCAGTGTTCTTATTTTTTTGTTACACTTCTTTCCTTTCCTTCTGTTACCCTCTCTTCTACATGCTGGAGAGTCAAACCCAGTGCCTTGCTTATGCTAGGCAAGTGCTTGACCATCTTTTTTCTTTTAAAAATCTAGTGTCTTTCTCTTTGTATTTTTTCTTTTGCAAGAATATTGAGTGAAATAGACATGTTATTATTTGTCTTGCAGTTTCTCAGAGTATACCTTTTCCTTTGTTTATGTTTTTTCCCCCCTTAGGTGCCAGGGTTTGGCTGATGCCAAACCCATGGCCTCATACATGCTACACAAGCATACTACCACTGAGCTATTGTCTGTTGCCTGCGTTTCATGTAAATGAGCACCTAGATTTGAAGGCTTGGTCAAATTTGTGTTTGATACCAGGGCAACTGAAGGAGGGAGGAGAAAGTAGCTGCCTCTGATCATTGACTAGATCTGTTCATTCATAAAGAATTGCAAAGTGATGCTGTTTTTGTGTTGTCTTTTTTCCATTTGTTAGAAGCTTGCCCTCATCTTCATTGCCCTGAGTTTACAGTTCATATGTGAAATACATGCTGAGTGCTTGGTTCTAGCTTTCTTCTTTCATGTTTTGGTTTGGGAGTATAGCTCAGCTGTAGAGTGCTTTGGTGCTCAGCCCTGCCCTCAGTCCCCAGCACTGCCAAAACGTAACCTTTCATTTAATTTTTGTTTTTGAATATTTAAATATATTGTCTGTTTTGGACACTGTGAGTTACCACCTGAGTACTTTTGTTACATCCCTGGTATGAATAGTTCCTTAAGTTTCCTTGCCTTGTAATGTGGAGAGGGGTGCCAGGCTTTTTTGTTCAGCAACCTTTTCAAAGACTTATGGTCAAAGGCATAGGGTCTGTTGGTTCTGTAGTGTCCCCAGGTTCCTTTATGGAGAAATAGTATTTTGTGGACCACTGGTTAGGCACAAGGAGCTTGTGGCTGTTGGTTTTTACACTGTTTCTAACCTGTTTCATTGGACAGAGATAAAAAGTACATATGTAGTATTTTTTCTGAGTGCTAGGGATTGGAACCAGCTCCTCAGATGCTAAAAGTGCATGCCTCTACCACTGAGCTAGCTACTCCGCAGCCCCTACTTGTTACTTTTTAAGAAACAATATGTCATGAATTTGTACTGATGCTTCCTGTTTAAATTCAGGCCATGTGGCTTTTTTTTTCCTTCACTTTGCATCTGTTTCCTTTGTTTCATGTGAAACTCTTAGTGGCCCCCATATAATTACTGATGAGCTCTAATACATAATTACATGGAAATATGAGAATAACCAACCGTACCAGTGGCAATGCAATTTTTTTTTGTTTGTGATTTTGTTATTATTTGGGGCTTAGGACAAAGGATGAGAAATGTCACTTTGGGGCACCTCTCCCCCTGAAATGTCAGTTCTAACCTTTCTGGGACAAACAGCAATATAATTCTAAAAGCAAATTTAAGAATTCTTAGCTGGGCATGGTGGTGCATGAAAGATCACTGAGAGTTTGAGGCCAGCCTGAACTACATATCGAGAACCTGTCTAAACAAAACAAAACAAAACCCCGCACGATTCTATCTAGGTGTGGTGGTGCACACATGTAACCCTAGTGCTTGGGAGGCTGAGGTGAGAAGCCTGCTGTGAGCTTGAGGCCAGCCTGGGCTACACAGTGAGACCCTGTCTCAACCAAAAACAATTCCTTTTGCCATATTTTTGTGCCCTGTCTAATCCTAAAGAACATACAGTAACAGTTGATTTTATTGTGTGCCGAAGTCATTTAGAACTTCTCTTAATGTTACTAATTGAATGAACATTTAGATTCTTTTTGTTTTTAACTTTTTTTTTTCTTTCCGGTACCAGAGATGGAGCTCAAGACTTTGCACTTGTGAGGCAGGCACGGTGCCACTGAGCTAAATCCCTGGTCCTTGTTTTTAACTTTTACAAATTAATTTTTAAATTTTGTTTTAAACCTGTACTCAGTTCAGAAGTATAAATTCAGTATATTAAATCACTATTAATATATATGTAAGTATATCATCATATTCCCATCTTATAATTACCGTTCTACAGAGATATTTTTCTGTTTGCTTTGCCTCTCCCCTTTTCAGATTAACAGTGTAGTTTGGAAATCAGTCCATAATAGTATTTAGAGCAGATTCTCAAATTCTTAGTTGAGAATTATTTGGACAGATGTACCATGTTTAGTGATTGGTAGACTGCTGATTTAGAAGGACTGTACGTATGTGTTGGAAGAGAGTTTTTTTCCTCTGTGTTATGATTAGTTTTAGCGTATAGCTTTATGTATTTATTTTTTCTTCAGTTTTTTTAAGGAATAATTGATAAACATTGTACACAGTGTATAAAGTGATGTTTTAACATGTCTATATATTAAGAAATGACTAAACCAAACTAATTAACATATCTACCTTACATCAATTTTCTAGTATGCAATACATTGTTGTTGGTTTTTTTGTGGGTGGGGAGGGGATCCCCAGGGATCGAACTGAGGACCTTGCGCTTGCCAGACGCAGCATCACTGAACTAAATCCCCAGCCCTGCAATACATTGTTATTAAGTATAGTCATTGTACCAGGGATTTAGCTCCTTGGCACCATGCCTGCCTGGGAAGCGCAAGGTCCTGAGTTCCATCCCTGCCCCCCCCCCCCAAAAGTATAGTCATCATGCACTACAGTACAGTCTCCCAACCCACTGACCTATCTAACTGGAATTTTGTACCCTTGGACCAACATCTCCCCACTCTCCGCTGTTCCCCAGCCCCTGGCACCACGATCCTATTCCACATACAAGTGTGATTCTGCAGCATTGGTTTTACTTCACTCTACATAATGTGCTCCTGCTTTGTCCATATTGTAACTTATGACATAATTTCCTTTTGTTTTTTGTTTTGATGTTTTGAGACAGGGTCTTACTGTGTAATTCAAGGTGGCCTTGAATTCACTGTGTAGACCAGGATGGCCTCGAACTCTTGGCAACCCTCCTACCTCAGCCTCCTCAGTGCTGTGATTACACAGGTGTACACTACCACACCCGGCACAGTTTCCTTATTTTTAAAAGCTGAATAGTGAGTGTATAGGTACATGAGAATATAGATATCTCCTCTTCGTATTGATTGCATTTCCTTTGGACATATCCCATTAGTGGAATTGCTAAATTATATGGTAGTCTTTTTCCCTTTTTAAAAGCTATTTTTAAATTTTTTGTGGTGCTAGAGATTAAACACAATGCCTCACATAGCTAGTCAAGCACTTTAACACTGAGCTATACCCCAGCCCAGTAGTACTAATTTTTCAATTTTTGAGAAACCTCTATATAGTTGTCTTTAATGGCTATACTAATTTATATTCTACAAACAGCGTGCAAAGGTCATGTTTTCTGTATATTTCTCAAATTCATAACTGTCTTTTTGATAATAGATATTCCCACAGGTGTGTGGTGCTGTCTTTTTTGAGGCAAGATCTCATTATGTAACTCAGTCTAGGCCGGCCTCGAACTAATGGCAAGCCTCCTGAGTGCTGGGATTACAGGCATGCACCATCGTGCCTGGCACTGGCTTGTAATTTTAATTTGCATTTATCTGGTAATTAGTGTTTTTGAACATTTTTAGTTTTTCATATACCTCTCTTTTAATTGCTTCTCATGAACAAGGTTTTGCATGTTTCCACTATATGCTTTTTTATTTCTGAACTCTGTTCATGTCGCTAACCCATTTTCTATAGGATTATTGAGCCTTTTTATGTCCATTTTTACAATTTGTATGTTAATGTTATTAGCACTTCTGATATTGTAAATTTATTATTTTGACATTTGTGTTTTTGCCTTATTTATTGTGGCTTTTCCTGTGCACACACTTGTTAATTAAAGCTGTCATTTTTTTTCTTTGTGATTCCTTTTTTCTCCCCTTTTGTTATTCATATATGTTTTATTTCTTTTGGGGGGGTACCAGGGGTTTTATTTCCTTTTCTTTTGCTCTGATTGTACAATAAGAAATAGTGTAGAATAGTATAACATTTTAAGATGTAAAAATATATTTGTTAAAATATATTTAGTCTTTTATTATTATAATGTATTCTACTTGCTTCTAGGCAAGGATAAAAGCCATCAATACATTCTTTGCTAAGAATGGTTATCGATTAATGGATTCTAATATGTATAGTCAGCCCATTCAAGCTCAAGCACAGTATGCCTCGCCAGTCTTTATGCAGCCTGTATATAATCCTCACCAGCAGTACTCAGTTTATAGTATTGTACCTCAGTCTTGGTCTCCAAGTCCTGCACCTTACTTTGAAACACCACTGGTAAGTGAGATACTTAACAGAATAATATAAAATAACAAAATTTTAAATTAACGCTAAAATTTGAAGAAATCAGCTGGAGTAATTCACTTGTTGGTACTAGTTATTTTCTGGCTTTCAAATAGTAATACAGCTATCTAATTCTCCTTACTAAATATATAGCTTTGACTTAAGCCTTCATCTATTGATTTCTACATTTTTATTCTTTAAACTTTGTGGAATGAATTGAAGAATATATAAGTCATATCTGATTTTAAATGCTAGAAGAATGTTCCTTCTCTATATGAACTGGTGATGGATTACTCATGAATCAAGAAATATTTGATGTGAATATTGCAAGAGTGAATTAAGTTAAATATTTAAAATTGTTTTTCACGTGTGAAAGAAATTGATACTAGGTTAGCTCATAAATGTTTCTTGTGACCCTCCATATTTTGTCTTTACTAATTATACAGTTTAAATGTAAACTTGTCTTCTAGGCTCCCTTCCCCAATGGTCATTTTGTGAATGGCTTTAACTCACCAGGATCTTATAAAACAAATGCTGCTGCTATGAATATGGGTCGGCCATTCCCAAAAAATCGGTAAGATAAAAATCATAGCTGAAATTTATTTTAAAGAAGATAAATATCTTGCCAGGGTTGTTATTATCATTGGGCCTAAGTTTATGTCATCCAAACATCATTCTCCCTCTGCCATAAACTGGCAAATTTTTTTTCTTAAAAATAATTTCATTACAGTAAATCATACTTTACTCTTGTGAAAAGATAACAGATTGCTCATGATTAGAAATGGGTTTGTAGGGTTGGGGACATAGCTCAGTGGTAGAGTGCATATCTGTTGACTGCACTTATTTCTTTGAAAGTGACTTTCGGATTAAACAATTAAGTAGAATAGATGTCTTTGTTATTAGGTAGACAGATTTTTAACTGAAATTACTGTTTTTTTCTCACTTGTATTCCTAGCTACTTGAGAGACTAAGATAGGAAAATGGAAACTTTGAGGGTGTCCTGGGTAACTTAGCAAGACCTAGTCTATCCAAACTAAATTGCTTTTGTTTTTGAGACAGGGTCTCACTATGTAGTTCAGGCTGGCCTCAAACTTACAGTGATCCTCATGCCTCAAGGAGTGCTGGGATTACAGGCATGCGCCACCGCACATGGTAACAAGTGCTCTTCTACTGTGCTATATCCCTAGTCTTTTAAAAATTTCAGTTTGACTGCTGGGCATGGTGGCACACGCCTGTATTCCCAGCACTCAGGAAGCTTGGGGCCTGGGGGGTGGATCACTGTGAGTTCAAGACCAGCCTGAAGTACATAGCAAGACCTTGTCTCAGAAAGAAAAATAAAAAAAGGAGCACTTGTCTATAGGTGCAAGGCCTTGGGTTCAATCCCCAGTACTCCAAAAATAAGTAGTTTGATTAAAAATTACATTAAGGGCTGGGAATTTAGCTCAGTGGTTCTGCCACCTGCCTTGCAAGAGCAGGGTCCCGAGTTCAATCCCCAGCACCAAAAAAAAAAAAAAAATTATGTTAAGCCAGGCATAATGGCCTACACATACAATCCACCAGTCTGGGAAGCTGAGGCAGCTTGGCCAATTTAGCAACTTTATAACATTTTGTCTCAAAGAAAGGATTGGAGATATAGCTCAATGCAAAGGCCCTGGGTTCAATTCCTAATACCATTTAAAAAAAAAACATGAATTTGTGGTACTTCCTTTGTTTTTGCCTGTTATTGTGTGCTGTGCCTTCTGGGTGAAAGCGGTGAAATTATAAACCCAGGAATGACAGTCATAACACTTTTACTTATATGGAGGTACATCTGTGGCTTTGCAGATATAGGACAGGTTTGGTGTAATTTTGCAATTTTCCGTGTTATATAAAACTATTCATGTACAGTTCTTTTCCATATTTTTTTCTTGAGAATCTATGTATTTTTTAACTAATTTTTTTTTTTTTTGTACCGGGAATTAAACTCAGGACCTTGTGCTTGCCAGGCAGGCGTGGCACCACTGAGCTAAATCCCCATCCCATGAGAATTTTTATATTTGTATTTTGCATCTTCTTTCATATATTTAACTAATGCTGTACAGGTTGTTGTAAATTTTTAATTATAGAAATAATAAATGAATGTTTTCCACTTACAGAAATACAAACATTACAAATAAAGCTTATTGACCACCAACCCAATTCTTGCTTCCTTTTTGCTTTTAAGAAGTGATGGCTACGAGGCCTTTATGTTTAAAAAAAATTGTTTATCAGAGCAGGGTGTGGTGGTACATACCTGTAACCCCAGCACTCTGAGAGGCTGAAATAGAAGAATTACAACTTCAGTCTGGACAACTTAATGACTTAGTGAGACCATGTCTTGAAAAATAAAAAAGAGCTAAGGATGTAGCTCTCAGTGCAGAGGCCCTGAGTTCAATCTCCAGTACTACCCCCTCCCCCAAGAAAAGCCCCGTTTGTTTTTGTTTTTGTTTTTTTTGGTACCTGGGATTGAACTCGGGTCCTTGCGCTTACGCAGCAGGTGGTGAAACCACTGAGCTAAATCCCCTGGCCCGAAACCCCGTTTGTTAAAGGAGAAAGTAACAAGCCTTTTTGGGATTTTTAAAATTAGCTTTGTGACAGCCCAGTGATGATCACTAGTCCTAGAGAAAATTGGACTTTCAGATGTCCAGACATTTTTCTGCCTTTATTATTTTATCTTTCTTCACCTCTCTTTCCTTTCAGTCTTTTGTCTCTTCTTTCTTCATTCTTTTTTCTGTGTTGCCTGGATTGAGACTGTAAGTCCCTCTCAGTGATGGGTAAGATTATAAGATCTGAGGGCTGTTTAAATTTAGCTACTTGACCCTGAGGCTTGTTGAAATGCAAGGTGAAAATTGGGTGAGCCGTAGTTTCTGAGCAGATACAAATAGCATCTCTACCTCATGAGGTCATTTTCAGATATGATAGATAACATTTTTTAAATTCCTGTTAGGGGATATTTTGTATTTTTCCTTGTAATTCTCTGAAAAGGTATTGTATATAGCTGATTTTTTTTTTTCATCTATCTTAAATGTTAATGATAATCTTTTTTTTGCCCCCTTAATACTGGGAGTTGAACTCAGGGCTTCACCTGAGCTACATCCACAACCCTTTAAAACAAAGTCTTGCTGGGCCATGGATTTAGCTTAGGGGTTCCAGGGCCTATCTCAAAAGCTCAAGGTCCCGAGTTCGATCCCCAGTACAAAAAAAAAAACAAGGTCTTGCCAAATTGCCAAAGCTGCGATGGTCTCTAGAATAAAATAGGTCATTTAGATATGTCATTGGAATTAATGCTTTTTTTTTTGCTACCGGGTATCAAACTCAGGACCTTGTACTGTTGAGGCAGGCGCTGGAACCACTGAGCTAAATCCCCGGCCCCCAGTGCTTAATTATTGAGCTTATAATAATTATATTTGCAGTTGTTTGGGGGAAGTTGGCTTTTTTAGGGTCCTGGTATGTAGCTCAGGCTCTCCTTGAACTCAAATTCAGGCTGGCCTTGTACTGGCAATCCTCCTGCCTCAGTGTCCCATGTGCTGGGATTACAGGCATGTACCACCATATTGGGATATACCTGCAATTGTTAATCTCTGTTGAGAAAGCCATGAATGGGCAATATGTTACTACTATTATAAAAGTAAAACCAGATTATAAAAAAATGGGTTACAAGGCTGGAGATGTAGCTCAGTGGTGCCATGCTTGTCTGGCAAGTGCAAGTTCTTGAGTTTGATCCCTTGTACCCCCCCAAAACACAAAACAAAAAAACCAAATGGGTTATATAAACTGCAAGCAATGGGCCAAATTTAAATCTCACACATTCTTTTTAATTTTGTTACAGAGCCACGATCCTCAGTTGCTAGAAGTTTTTAATGTTGATTACAGTGCATCTTCTCTCCATTACCCTAGTTTTGTCTACATACAGAGTTTTAGGAAGTTGGGGCCTTATGTTCATCAGCCATGATAAAAGCTACTTTTATAGAAGTGGGTTAGTTTGTGGGATGTTTTGGTTTTCCTTACTATTTATTTATTTATTTATTTAGGTACCGGGAATCAAACTCAGGACCTTGTGCTTTCGAGGCAGGTGGTGGTACCACTGAGTTAAATCCCCACCCTTTCTTTGTTATTTTTACTACATTGCATATCTGATTCATGAATTCATGTCAGGCTGTTGATTGTATTGCTATATCTCCCTAGTTTTGTGTCATATGGATCTTAAACAATTGACTTTATTTGGTGAAATCTGAGGTTTTAGTGTATTATAGTATTTTTCTTTTTCACTGTCACACCCATAAAAAGCCTTTTAAGACATTTTCCCTAATTTCCTCCTATGCCATGGATTATTGTATATCTACTCACATAATATACATGTGCCTGTGTTTCATAAATAAAATGAATATGCTATCTTTGGTCTTCCACACACAACTGCCAATTTTTAGTTGCACTGGTTTTGCCATTATTGAGAACACATGGTATAAACTCATTAATAAATTTGAAGCCTAGCTGATGGAGCCATTTCAAGACTGCAGTTGGTTTAACCACAAAAACAAAAAATTTTAAAAATCTTAAATCCTAATTATACTCTTGAGGTGAAAGTCTTTATGTCCAAAGAACATTAGATTTTCCCCCCAGATCTCTCCAAACACAAATTTATTTAAATATTCTATCTGGGACATAAAAAGGTGACTTTATGTTTATAGAAAATCAGACTATAGTTATAAAGTCAGTTTATAACCTGCAGAACAGTTTTTTAGTCCTGATTTATCCTTTCATGTATATGATCTTGTATTTCTTACAGTGTGAAGCCTCATTTTAGGTCATCCAGTGGTACAGAACACTCCACAGAGGGCTCTGTGTCATTGGGGGATGGACCATTGAACAGATCTAGTTCAAGGAACTTTGCACCTGAACTGCATAACCCTATAGTAACAGGGCATCAAGAGCAAACTTACCTTCCAAAGGAGACTCTCACTTTACAAATGGAACAAAATGGGGACTATGGTAGGGGCAGGTAAGGAAATAACTATATGAAATTTCTTTGATCATAATGTGATCATCCTGAAATTTTGAAGACCACATCTGTTGATTTTGTTGTTTTATCTTAATTGTTGGTATGTGATCATGCTGATAAATACATTAATTGTATAACGTGGGTTAATAGTTTCTTATTTTGTCTTTTGGTGGTTTTTTGTCTGTATGTGGTGCTGGGGATCAAACCTAAGACCTCGAAAATGCTATGCCAGCACTTTCTTGCTAAGATACCTCTCCATTCCCAGTAGTTTTTTTCGTAAGGAACATAGAGTATCCATAGAGAATATAATTCTGAATCAGGAGTTTATAGTCTGAAGTTCTTTATAGTTTGTCGAGGAGAGAACAGCTTAGAAAAATAGGATACCTATCTGCCTTACAGTTTTAATTTCTCCCAACCCTTGAATAATAGCAGTGGGGGTTATATATTGCCCACCATGTCTAAATTATACTTTAATATGTTTCTAATAATGGAGGGAATACTGCTAATAAAAGTGATCCAAATAACTTGGTGGTTGTTTGTGGTGGTGATGGTGAAGTGAAGTTTTGTTGCAGTAGTTCAGGATCCCTTCAGAAGAATGTACTTATAATAAAGGAAAAAAAATAGTGCAGGTTTAGGAAATATAGGTAATTTAAGTAGATATCATTCCATCTTTGATAGAATGTGTATATTTGAAGAATCTTATAAGTTTTCCTACCTCTTCTTTTTTTATTTTTAAAAGGAGGACTCTTTTCAGAGGTCGAAGACGACGAGAAGATGAAAGGATCCCAGTGAGTATTTTAAACCTTTGAATTATGTCTTTTAGATTTTTTTGTCTGTTTTGATTTACTGTGGCATTGACTTATGGTCTTTCTTTCTGGGCTTTAATCTCAGCACTATGGGATGCTGAGGTGGGAAGATCAAGACCAGCCCACGCAACTTAGTGATTTAACAAGATCCTCTCTCAACATAAAAAAAAAATAAAGGTCTGGAGATGTAACTCATTGAGAAAGCCCTGGGTTCAATCCCCTCTACTACAAAGGAAAGAAAAGAATATGTAACATTCACATTTAAAAAAAAAAATATGAAAAGAAAAGCTCAACTATTAGATTATTGATAGATATTAAAAGTTTCAAGGGCTGGGGATTTAGCTCAGTGGTTCTGCCGGCTGCCTCACAAGCACAAGGACCGGAGTTCGATCCAACAAAAAAACCAAAAAACGTTTCAGTCTTTTGCTCTTATAAACAGTGCTATCACAGATAATATAGTGATACCCTTGTAGCCATCATTTGCCATATATGCATTACTTTTGTTGCTGTTATTGTTGTTGGTTTTGTTTGTTTGAGGCACAGTGTCACTGTGTAGTTCAGTCTGGCCCTGAACTCACTGTGTAGCCCGGGCTGGCCTCGAATTCCTGCCAGTCCTCCTGCCTCAGCCTCCTGAATGCTGGTCTTACAGGCTTGCGCCACCACGCCTGGCTGCCATATGTGTATTTCTATCTGAAAGAGAATCCCCGGATATGGTATTTCTGGATCACAATTCAATTAATATCCTATATGGGTTGTGTCAGTTTTTATTCCCATAAACAATAGAAGTTCCTATTTATCTATAGCTTTAGAATATATGCTGTTGTAGTTTTCTGATATGAGAAAGGATATCATTTGCTTTTCCACAATACTGGTGTTTGAACACAGGGCAGCCTTTACACTAGTGTACTACATTGATAGCAAATCCTGCCCCCACCACCACCTTTTTTTTTTTTTTTTTTTGTGGGTACTGGGGATCGAACTCCAGTCCTTGCGCTTGTGCAGCAGGCGGCGAAACCACTGAGCTAAATCCCTGGCCCAACCACCCCTTTTTTTTTTTTTTTTTGAGAGCAGTTGTCTCACTAAATTGCTGGGCTGTCCAGGCTAGGCTTGAATTTGTGATCTTCCAGCTTCCCAGAGTGGCTGGCATTACAGGCATGTGCCACCACACCCATTGTCACTCTTCAAGTTCTGTTGAATGGTGTTAGAAACTGTTCATTAATTGTTACTTTGGGTACGTTTTCTACCTATTGGTGATTCTTATTATCTATTAGTCTTAGAAAACATTTTGTAGATTTCAGAAATTTTATATTTGGATCTTAAGTTTCCTAGTTTCAAATTATTAATATTTTTGTTTTGTGTAGTTTGTTTATAGCATATGTTTCCCATTTCTTATGTAGAGACAAAAACAGTTGAGAAATAAAAAAGATGTGAGAAGGCATGTTCTCAAGAAACCCCCACACACACCTGGATTTACAGATATATTATAAATGTGCAGTATAATGCTTATTTATTGTGAAAAGAAACCCTCTTTCAAAGAAGAAAATATATTGTATTAAAGCACAAAAGTAATCTTTAAAACAATGTTGGTTTTCCTTTATAACTTTTTATACTGTGGACAGCCATGAAAATTAAAGCAATGACACAGTCCACATGAATTTCCCACCCCCCCAGGGTTTCGCTATGAGGTTTAGGCTGGCCTTGAACTCTCGGTGATCCTCCAGCCTCGGCCTCAATGATTGAAGAGAAGAGAAACTAGTTTTGGGGTCTTTTTAATGCTGAAAATGTCTGGATTGAGGTCTGAAAGGTGGAATGAAAGAAAAGAAGGCAAGCTTGCCTTCCAATAGGAAGAACAGGTTAGACGAGCCTTTGTGTATGAGGGAGATTTTAGCTAGAAGTGAAATTTAAGATTTGCAACATAGTAATTTTGAGTGATAAAAATAAACTAAAAAGTGAGATTATTCAGTATGTTGTTTGAAGTATCCAAGTGAAATCTGGAGACAGCTATTAGGCAAATACATATCTGGGTTTCATGTAAAGGCCTGGGCTGAAAGTCTTTAAAGTGTATGAGTCAATGATCTTGCATAAAGAGTTGTACAAGCATGACCAAAAAAATATGAAAAAGATTGTTTTAAGAGTTATTTGTCCTGGGTTTGGTAGTGCACACCAATAATCCCAGCATCCTAGGTCACTGGGCAGGAGGGTTCTAAACCCAGTTTAGACAATTAGTAACTCAGCTAGACTCCTTCTCAAAATACAAAAGGCTGGGGATACAGCTCAGTGCAAAGGCCTTGGGTTTAATACTCAGCTCCATTGAATGAATGGGGGTGCTTGAGGGAGAGAGCGGGAGATTGAGATTGAAGCATACGCTTGTAGTCCCAGCACTTGAGTGGTGGAGGCAAGGGAATCAAGAGTTCAAGGGTAGGGCTGGGGATTTAGTTCAGTGGCACCAAGCCTGTCTTGCAAGCACAAGGTCCTGAGTTCGATCCCTGGTACGGGGGTGGTGGGTGGGTGGGTGGTGTTTGAGGGCAGCCTGAGTCACATAGCAATGGTCCATCTCAAAAAAGAGAAGGAGATGCGTCACATTGGTGAAGACTAATGAAAGCTCCACTAAGATGAGAAGCAGAGAATTTATAGGGGAACAATTATGTGCATTAGATAAAGGTATTTTTGTTCTCTTACAGTTTACGGTTTCTGTGGCAAAGAGTTAGAGAATGTGTTAGGCATATGACCTGTTTATTGAATTGTATCTTTTAGAGACCCCATCCTTCCGCTGAAGCAAAGTCTCCAACACCAAAGTTTGACTTACTAGCTTCAAATTTTCCTCCTTTACCTGGGAGTTCATCAAGAATGCCAGGTGAACTCCTCTTGGAGAATAGAATGTCTGATGTCGTTAAAGGTGTCTGCAAAGAAAAGGTAAGCTCCGAAACATGCAGCGTGGTTCTTTTACTATATGGGACTATACCTTATTTAAATTTATATTTAAATTTCATTTCTCTCCCAGACCTTTTCTTATCTGAAATCCTTGGGTCTACAAGGTTTTCTAAGTCAATGTTTATTATAACAGTAAATGTTATCCCTTAGCTTTTTTCCTTGTATGCATCGCTGTATTTCTAATGGAGATACTTTATTGGCTTTCAATTTTATCTTTTTTTTTTTTTTTTTTTGTACCAGGGATCGAACTTGGGACCTTCCACTTGCGAGGCAGGCAGCAGAACCACTGAGCTAAATCCCTTGGGTTTCAATTTTAGATATTAGTTATTCACTTTAGGTTTTATAATTGAGGATCCCCCACGACCCACCTCGCAATACTGGGGATTTAATCAACTTAAGGGTGCTCTGCCTATGAACTACATTTCCACCCAGCCCCGCCCCCCCTTTTTTTTGGTGTGGGGTTCGAACTCAGGACCTTGTGCTTGCAAGGCAGGGCGTGGCACCACTGAGCTAAATCCCCAGCCCTCCTTTTTCATTTTGAAGTGCAGTTTTGTTGAGTTGACCAGGCTGGCCTCAAAATAAAGATGTTCTTGTTCAGCTTTGAAAGTAGCTAGGGTGATGGCCATGTGTCATCACACCCAGCACACAGCTCTGTTAAACAAGCACACATAAAATTTTCCCATCCACTCGGTGTATTCTGTGTTATTATACCTAAGATATCATCAATTATTAGATGCCCATTATGTTATTATCACCAAAAGGCATTACAAGTTAGACTAGACTATGCCATCATTTCTAAGACACTTGGTATTACGTATTTTTTTCATAGCTGACACAGTATACTATTGATTACTTACTTTTTCTTGTATATTCCTTTTGGGCTTTTGAGACAGGGTCTTGCTATGTAATTCAGGCTGGCCTTGAACTTGAGGCAGTCCTCTTGCCTCAGCCTCCTAAATGCCAGGATTATGGGCATGTGCCACCATGCCTGGCCTTTGCTTGTATATTCTAAGTGACCTGCAGCATGGCTGTGTTCCTTGGACTTCCCTTCACCATCATCTTGGGAATTTTCCTTAGTCTCCTTTATTGGATCTCCCTTTCTTCTTGTTTTTGTTTTACTCTCCTGTATTTTAGTGCATCATGTCTTCCAGAGTTTCCTGAATAAGTGGTTAGGTATAAATTTCTTGATCTTGAATTCTAAAAAAGTATTTGTGGTCTCACTTAATCAGTAGTTTATCTCCAAGTAGACTTCTCTTTTAGAAATAAT